TATAGAATTGCTAAAGAAATTAGGTATAAAAAAAGTTATAATAGTAGCCTACTTTTTATTATAAGATTTTGATTAATTATAATTGAAGTTAATACCTTAATTCTTTTATTAATTATTAAAATAAATCTTTTCTTCCAAATTATTATAGATATATTACTATCAGATTATTTATAAATTAATATCAATAACAAAAAGTTTATTAGAATGATTAATTAAAGTATTAATTAATTCTTATAAAACCTTAAGTTTGAAATCAGTAATTTATTATTTAACGATTTTTCTACACTTAATAGTGAGCTATTTGAATTTAATAATAAAATTATTAAATAAAGTCTTCTTTATTTTACACTTATTATAATTTATAAAGATTTTATATAAAAGATTAAAAGTTTGATATTATTTATTTAATTTATATTAAATACTTATTATAATACATTATCTAAAAAACTAAAGATCGAAATTATATAGATTATTAATAATTATATTAAAATATATCTAGTTATTCATATAAACAAAACCAAAAAGTAAATTAACAAGAAATATAATCTTTTAGAATTCCGATTTATTTTTGTAATTTATAATTAAATAATAATTAATTATATTACAAAATACTATATATTAATTCTAATACTTTGCAATATCTTGCTTATTACTACTAAACTTTTTGGGAATAATAAGATATTTTTGATGGGGTAAAACTTGTGGGTTATTGTAAATAACAATTTTCAATATTTCAATTGTATCCTTTAATTTGATAATCTTTAATTGAATATCAGCAATTTGGATTTATACTGTGGCAATTTAAACTTATAATAAACTTATAATTAATTTAATTAACTCAAATATAATTTAAATAACTATGAAATATATAGTATTTAAATTATTAAACAAATCTATAAACAAAAAGATATCAATTTCAATAGAATTAAAAATATGGTTTAAAAAAAGGAATTATAGAAATAAATCAGGTATAAATACTTAATCAGCTATCTTCGAAATACTCCCACAATTGTAAAACAATCTTACAGAATTTCTGAACAATAATAACTAGGATACATAATAAATCAATAATAAATATAATTAATGTAATTGAATTATAACTTTAATGAAAATTTAATTAAAATGAAATTATAATAGCTTTTATAAAGATAGTATAAACTATTAAGATATAGGTAAAGACTTATATTATATTATAAAAATAAAAGAGTTATGGAAAAATAAGGTCCTACTTATAAGAAATAGGGCATACTAGTAGTCTATGCCTGAGACACAAAGGCAACTACAGAACATGTAGTTGGCGCCGTGACAGTAGCATTATAATTAACTTTTATAATAAGGGATATAAAACTATGATTAAAATTGTTTTCTAAAGTTAGAATATTATTTAATTTAAAGATTCCTATATAACCGATGGGAGTATAAGGAGTAAATTAGGAATGAATTTGAGTAGATAGGATTATATTATAGAATATATTTTGTATAAGGGTAGTAATATTAGCTTTCTTAATTGATATTTCTTTATTTAACTAATAACAATTGTATTTTTAAATAATAATCTCGAGTTTATTGATTTTTGTAAATTTGTTAATTAGTTTTTTAATAATACTATAGTTCTTAATATACAAATTGATTATTTATTAAAGAAAATTAAATATCTTTTTTTTCAGATTATAAAAGAAAATCTTATTATTTATAATTTCCACTTAAATAATAAGTAATTGGAATTTTCAATATTATATCACAAAATTGTTTCTCTAAGCATTATTAGGTATAATCTAATATTTATATTTAATTTATATATAATTAATTTCTATAGGATTTATATATATTACTACAAATTCATTGATTAATTAGAATTCTGTTAAATAAGGGATTTGAATATATAAAGAATATAAATATTTTTAAGCTTTTTCTTTTATTTGATTTATTATATAAGATTAATATTGCAATTTTATAGCAAACGATGTTGCATATAGCTTTAATTACTCTATAACTAGTAGCTATTATAAGCTTGCTTTTAATTCTATATTATTTCTAAATTTAAATAAAAATTTAATAAACTTTGAAACATATAATCTTTTTATAAGAATAATATTAAAATGAAAATGGAATATTTAATAAAATAGTGAATTATAATTAGATATGATTATTAATGAATAAGGATTACCCTCAAAAGAAAAAAGAGATTATTGTAAAGATTGATTTTATAAATAAATCTTTTTTTTATTTTTCTTTTTTCTAAAAATAAAAGATATCCTTTTAATAAAAATAATAGGAATATTAAAAGTTTGAATTTTATAATTCTTAAAGGAATCTATATAATATTACTACTATTATATAAACAAATGAAATAAATGAGTGGTATTAAAACTAAATTATAATAATATTAATTAAAACTTTTCAATTTCATTTTATAATATTTCTATTATTAATATTTACTTTTTATAATTTTAAAGAATTAGTTTTAAATTAATATCTTGATTAAAAAATCATTTCCACACTTTTTATTCTTTCCATATTTATCTATATTTATACCAAAACTATAAGAATTATTATTATTACTCTATTGAGATTAATTGTTATTAAATATAAAAACTCGATTGATAGGTAAATAATATAAATCTTTCAAAATAAACAAATTGTAATTTGAATTAAATAATATAGAAAATATAATAATAATATTTGTAATTCTATATATTAAAGGAATCTCTTTATTAAATGTTAATTGAAATAGATTTTCTTTATATAAATAATATCGAATTTATATAATTCATTTAAGAAAATATTAAGTTATAAAATATTATTTGGATAATTATCAAATGGTTATATAATTGTATAATAAATTATAGATAATATAACACTTTGCCTTATAAAAATTATAAAAATAGAGTATAATTTATTCTTAGAATCTACAATTATAGAATCAAGAGCAAAATATTCATAAAACGTTCCTATATATTAACTATATATATATAATTAGATACATATGTAAATACGTATGTGAGCGATCGCAATTGCGATTGGGTACAATCCGTAACAATAAGCGACTTTTTAGAATTTTTAGAATTTTTAATTTCAATAACTTATGACTTCTGAAATACAATTGTGAAAAATAAACTAGCTTATTTTTCATTCAATTCCAATAATCTTAAATTAGATTTTAACTTATTTTATAATTTCATATATAAATTGAATAATTAAACAGAGATTCTAGAAGTTGAAGAATTGATTGTTTTGGTGGGAAAAACGAAATCTGTGCGGTGAGTAGATTCCAGAACTCTTACCAAACGTTCATTTTGGTCTTCGAATCAAAACAAGCTTTGACTAATAGCCTTACATACCTAGGTAGACAAAGCTAATTTGACGTTCGGGGAGAAATTTTTCGATGTATATCTTCAAAGCTCTGAATTCGAGATTTTGAAAAAGGTTTGTAGTACAAGACCAATAGAATTGTCTGAGGATCTCACTAGAGATGGTAAGAAAATGAACATGGTCGTACATCACCTTGTAAATCACACTTCTGCCAGACACTAATTCATGATCAAGTTCTATGCTATCGAGCAAGACATAATAAGAATAGTAACATGCTTTTCAAAAGATAGATGTGGAACATATGGATGGGATGAGGACTTCTTTGTACTATATAACTAGAATCCAATTTGACAGACCTGGGAACACACGTGGAGTTATGGATCTTGTCAGAAACATTCAATTCGTAGAGTATTACCAAATTCAATTCCAGCTTCGCTAATTTTGCCAATAGTAATTCCCCCTATCCCAAATAATGTTATTACATCAAAGCAGTGATAGGCGAGATTTCTAATATCCAAGAATAATAATTCTCATAGAACTAGACCATATCAGTGTTCTCGATATCCTAGACCGATGAAAATCATGCTAGAAACGAAGGGTGTGAGAACCGCATTGCAATTGGTATTATACCTGGAATTCAGAAAAAGGTTTTGGATTCAGGACTTGAATTGTTAGGCCTGAAACATATTGAACTAAACGATGAATAGGATAGAAAATTTGCCGATAAAAGATACTGAATAAAAATTGGGTATTTGCTTTGCAAAATCGCATGTGAACCTGCCGCCTATTGATTTAAATACATCGAATTCCAAAGTATCACTTGTCTTCAAAATCATTGCGCACCCAAAGTTTGTAGTGCTGCCCTTAACTCCTTTACTGCCGTTTCAGCATCCTCAAAATTCAAGGCTGAAATCGCCCATCTTGCATGTTTTTGTGCTTTAGCAATTGCTTCATCGTCCGTATTTAACTGACTGCGAGCTTGTGTGACTGGTGGGACTATTGGTGCTGTAAAATTGTTTGATGGGGGAGGTCCAGGTTGATAGGTCTGGTTGGTAGGTGGTACATGTAGATTTCCATGGTCCGATGGTGGAGGTTGACGATAAAAGTCTTGAGGTGCAGTAGCTGACGGTTGTTCTCCGGGTAAAGTTGGGGGCGGAAATGATTGGAAATCTGGAGATGGCTTCATTCCGGGAGATGTTCCGGGAGAAATTCCAGGTGCGGCAAGAGAAGATGTATCCGGTAGATCAAGATCGAACGTGGTATCTGGAGCGGGAGCTGTTGGTAAAGTTGCATCTCGAGGTTCAGATGTAAAGGTTGGAACTTCTGGAAAATATCCTCCTCCTATAGATCCATTCCTATCTTTCGGAGATGGCTCGAGAGGGGATACATTATCGTCTTGGGCTGCATTATATGGAAAACCATCTCGAGGATATGGTTCGAATGGAGCCGATTCATTGTTTGGAGATCCTTGAGCAGATACTTGTTTAGAGGGGTGTAAAGATCGATCTAATGATGATTGCCTTGCTAACTTTACTTCCAATTGATCTTGCTCATCGGTGACATCTTCCACAGAAGCTTGCTGTGCTTTCTGTTCCCCCAACAACTGTACCTCGGGATCATTTGGATCTAATGACGGTAATTCATCCTTGGGAGTTGGTTGTGGTTTGGGATTAGATTCATTGGGATCTTTTCCTTCTTTCAATGCTTTAACGATACGAACTGCGTTCCATTTTGCATACTTGATCTTTGCTTGAGTTTCGACATCCGGTGGTGACCAAATATTCAATAGTTCCAGGAAGGTCGCTGCGGCTTGAAAAGTTTCCGCAGTTTGTCTAGATTCTATCAGTCAATGTTCATAAGAATAGATCATTGGGATCGTACTTTGTGACTTTGTTTGCCTCGACAGCTCGATCTGCCCTTGAGAATATTTCCATACCAAATTGTTCGCAATATGCTTGACCTGCAGTATCATCCATAATTGCATCGTTATCTGGGCTCTCGGATTTTATCTGCCACAATTTAAGTATAGTCCACTTCGCAGACATAGAATTATCATACCCTCTCAAGTTTTTCCATCAAAGTAGTAGTATATTGTAGTGTCTCTGCATCTCCAGTATGTAGTCCTTTCGACAGGATCTGGTTAACGATCCAGTATTCACCTGAGGGAATGGTAATGTTAGAATTTGGGTTGTGCGATAAGACTTCAATACGTACACCAATATGATATAACCGGCTTCGCATTTTCTAGCTGTGCCGCCTTGATAATAAATCGAGTTAAGTCCGCGGTCTTCAACTTTTGGGGAATTTGTGACGCCATTATTGACTGTGGTTGTTGAGTTGAAGATTGGTGGCTCGGTGAGTATAGGTAGGGTGGGATATGATTAGTGACGGATGAGAAAGCTTGCGCTGCATGTATGATTTGCACTTGAGTTGAGAGCGGCAGCGAGGTTGACCATGAAGAAGGTTATTGATTGATTTAAAGATCTACCTAGACGTTTCTTTGTGAATGGTATGATGAGAAAACAATGCGATGCGATGCGATGCTAGAACAGTAAATCCAGCCTTACAATTGAATATGATGACCCCGCCCCTCACTAATTGAATTCTGCCATTTCACCGCTCAATCGATACTAAAGTAGCAGTACGGACGGGAAGCCTAGTAACTCTGTAGGTATTTTACCCCGGATTTCATTTAATAATGATACCTCATCCAAATTCATCCACCTCGTAATACACATCTTGCGACTGTGGCCTTTTCGCATACATAAATACAACAACACCTTCACGTACTACAACGCTGTTTTCTTCTTACATGTATTGATAAAATTCAATAGCTCCTACAGCTACACGTAGTAATTACAATTCACAACTATCTAAAATGGTTAATACTGGAGTCATTTCAACTGCAGCTGCGGCTTTGTTGTGTGCTTTGCCCGCAGTTCATGCTGGATTGTACCCTAAGAGTTCAGCTGTTTTGTCAATCAATGGAAAGGACTATGATCGTATGATTGCTCAATCTAACCATACTTCCGTAAGTGTTCCGCTGATCCTCAATAATTCTATTGGCACATCAGTTGTTAACCTTCTATCGTACAGATCGTCGAATTTTATGCTCCATGGTGTGGACATTGCAAGAACCTTCAACCAGCTTACGAAAAAGCCGCCAAGAGTCTCGCTGGTCTCGCGAAAGTAGCAGCGGTCAATTGCGATGAAGAATCGAATAAAGCTTTCTGCGGAGGATTCGGTGTTCAAGGTTTCCCTACTCTCAAGATTGTTAAACCAGGAAGCAAACCCGGAAAGCCAATCGTTGAAGATTACAATGGACCACGAACTGCGAAAGGAATTGTCGATGCAGTAGTCGATAAAATTCCAAATCTTGTAAAGAAGGTTACAGATAAAGATTTGGAGAGTTTCCTGGCCGATGCGAACGACACTGCGAAGGCAATTTTATTCACCGACAAAGGAAAGACAAGCGCAACATTGAAAGCCATTGCCATTGATTTCAAGGGCAGTATCAAGGTGGCACAGATCAGAAACACAGAGAAAGCTTCCATTGAGTTATTTGGCATCACTGAATTTCCTACCCTTATTTTGTTGCCTGGCGGGGAAGCAGCCGAAGGAATTGTGTATGACGGGGAATTAAAGAAAGATGGCATGGTCAAATTTCTTACACAGGCTGCCGAGCCTAATCCAGATCCACCAGCAGCCAAAGCGAAAACTTCCAAATCCAAAGCAAACAAAAAGTCTTCCGCAAAAGCAAAGGAATCTTTCGAAGCAGCATCGGAATCTCACGCCAAATCCGAAAAGCCTGTCACTCAAACAGATGAAACATTAGAAAATCAACCCACTGAATCATCATCGCCAGAAGTCGAAACAGAGAAACCAATTGTACTTCCACCAGCGCCTGCAATTCCTATTCTTACTTCTGAAGCCGGCCTAAAAGAGAATTGTCTTGGTCCTAAAACCGGTACATGCATTCTTGCGCTTCTTCCAGATACCTCGAACGAGATTACGGGCTTAGCTTCTACTTCATTAGCCGAAGTTTCCCATAAACATCATCTACATCAACGAAAGTTGTTCCCATTCTACATCCTACAAGCCGAAAACCCTGGGTTCTCCCAAGTCAAAGAATCTTTAGGGCTGAAAGGCGATGCTGAAATTATTGCTCTCAATGGACGACGAAACTGGTATCGAGCTCTCCCTAGCAAGGGCGAATCCCTAGTTTCCGAGGATGTGACAATCGAAGCAATTGAGAATTGGGTTGACGCCATCAGATTGGGTGAAGGCGAGAAAAAGAAGATCCCCGAGGGACTCATTCCTGAAGAAGTTGAGGAGACTGTTGTGGAAGAAGCAGCTCCGGAACCAGAACCAAAAGCTGCAGATGAGCCTATGATTGCCATAGAGGAGCTCCCGGAAGATTGGGAACCACCAACCCCAGAGCCCGAGATCAAACACGGAGAACTTTAAGTAGGTTAAGTAGGTCTTTGTGAGGGAATTATGGAGTTCTCAGGAGGAATACGGTCTCACGAGTTCTCCTAGAGCGGTAGTTTGCGGCATTTGTTTACAGTTTGCATAGTAATAGTAAAAAAATATACCATCATTCATTTTGTTAATATATGAGACGTGCGCCAAACTTCTATTAACCATCAAACGGTTCCCTTGATGTAAAGTTCTTCCATTCCTGCCATCCTATCCTATTTCCATTATGACGCCATCGAAACACTTGGGTATCATCTAATGATGCTGTTCTTCCCTCGTATGATTTACAGATCTGGCCCTACGAAGCCATTGCACCACTTAATATTTTCTTCCCTCTAGTTCTAATCACCCCATCTAGAATCTCTCTGACCTGTTTACACCCATCCACTCCCACAGCCAGCATGCCCTCCAATCTACCGGCTTGTACTCTTGTCTCCATGACCAATGCCACAACTCCGTCACCATCGCCTTCTCCAGCAGTTGCAACCGTGAGGAACGGTAATTCTTGCTCCTCACCCAAATTTAAGTCCAACAACGGGTCTGCTTTCTCATCATTACTCGAATATGAAGATGTAGAGCCAGCTGTACAAGCGCAAATATAAGAAGGCATTGGAATACCAGCGTCGATTAAAGCAAGAGTCGAGGCATTGATAAGGGCAGAGAGAAGCGAGCCATCTAATGACAAAATGTGAAGGGAAATGAGGATTGTCGAATGAGAAGTCAAAGTAGTCAGAAGATGAGGAGTGAAGGTTGTGGATAAGGTACTTGAAAGTTCTTGGATACGTCTGCAGCGAACCTGATTAGTTTCCGTTCCGCTCGAGCCAGTAGAGTTGAGATTCGCAATACGTAGCGAGTTAAAGAATTGAAGGGGACTCACTTATCATTCCTACCATACTTCTTCCTATCCACACCTGCGAAACCTGCGAAACTGATCTCCACTCTTACTTCCGCTTTTTCCCCCGCATTGTTACTCCCACCACCGCCAATTGATCGTAATTTTGAGGGATCACAAGGCCCAGTCACTGTGCAGAGAACTTGGGTATTACCCATTGAAAGATACGAAGATCCATCGGATGAAGGTTGAGTTGAAATTTGTGCTGTAAGACGGCGAAGTTCGTTCCATCTGCGACCGTCAAGACGGAGAAGAGCAAGAGAGTAGGTTGATGTGTCGAGAGGCATGATTGTGATCTTGAGAAGGGCGTCAAAAGGAGTATGTAATGGGATGTGCGCGTATACAAGCTTGCGAAGTATATGAAATCTTTATGAACCAGAGGTCATGCGAAGGACTCTCTGCTGAAGTGGGGGACTTGTAAGAGGCAATGATGTGAATGATACAAGTGTTTCTTGAAAGTTCCCAATTCGTGAAGCTCAAAAAGCTTTGGTAACAAATTATTTTTGTTGATCTTAAGGTTATGGTAGATTAGATAAGATTAGATGTGTGGTTATTAGTCAGCTCATTATCTACTAGATGACCTCCTCATTCTCAATATCTATTCAAAGGAGGATGATTTCTCTCAACATTCACGAAGGAAAATCTAGGGAGCTGAGCCCCCGACATGATATTTACCAATCTAAGAAGATTGATATCTCTTTATTCATGGCATACACGTACTACTTGATTCTAGTCTTTCTCGTTCATCACTGTAGTCTGTACTCGAGTGTCTCGAGTGTTCTCATCCTCCACCAGTAGGTGCACAGACTCACAGGACAACGTGACAGGAAAGCACAATTTCACACTCAAATTTATCAACTTCAAAACTCAATCAAAATTCCAAATTCCATCTAATATTATTTAAATTAAAACATATAATTTATAAATATAAGATTTATATAATATATAAAGATTGAATCTTAAAAATGAATATTGAATTTAAAAATCAAATAATATATTTTCCTATTAAATTTTTTAATAGAATATTATATAATTGATTGTATAAACTTGAATTTTGTTTTTTTTTGAAATAAAACTTTCACTATATGAAATTCTTATACTTGAAAATAATAATTCTTAATTTTAAAGTTAAATATCAATTTTTTGAATTTTAATTGAATTATCAAAATAGCTCTTTTTGGTATGAAATTGTGCTTTTCCTCTTAAGTGTCCCGTGAGTCTGTGCACCCACTGGTGCTCATACTACCTGACTCTAAAGTGAATGCTCAGAAAGTTGATCTACTTATTAGCTTGTTCCTCAAATTTGCTTCATAGAACGTTACATTATTCTGTCTTTCAGAAACCTCTGCGTACAAAGCTTATACAAATATATAATACTTTCTCTATATAAAAAAATCACTTTTTTCAATTTTTTAGAAATTTTAATTTTCAAAATCTACAATTTTTCATAAGAAATTATTAAAAAAAATTTAAATCATTTTATTGATTTTCTATTATTTATATTAATTTTAGTAATTTAATTTATTTATATATTGAAATACTATAACATGTTTTATTAGTGAGTGAATTATATCAGTAAATGAGTTATTTCGAAAACTATTTAAATCAAGCTTTTTAAAATATTAATATTTTAATAACTAATTATTATTTTCTTAAATAAAAGATCTTAAAAAATAGTTAAAATCTAGATTTTTAATTGATTCAATTTTTATAAAATAATTTTATTATTTTTTTTTAAAAAAAAAAGAAAATTTGTTAGAGTGAGTGCAAGGCGATGACTAGTATAAGTATAGATATAGGTTTAGAATAAGACTTTTCATTAATTTCTTTTAAAACCTCTTCTTGAAGTTATATATATATAAAAATTCTTCAATATCGGAATAATATTAGCTTAATGCTAATTCTATATCAATATTTATAATAAAGTTCTTTTTCTTAAACTTTTATTCTTGAAAGCTTTTTAAAGCTATTCAATAGTTAATCGCTATTATATCGATATATTTTCGAAATCTTATTAAATCCTATAGCAAAAGTTAATTATATAATACTTATATTCTCATTTTATAAGATTCAGTTTCTTTATAGTTTTTGAAAAGAGTTATATTATAATACAAAAATACTAGAAATAAACTAATCCTTAATTCAAAGCTTAAAACCCTTGAAATTTTCGAAAAAATTCGAAAGAAAGAAATCGATTTGATAGAATAATGATTTATATTTGATAGGGTTTTATTTTCCTTTTTTTAGTTTTTAATTTTAAAAATTTATTTATTCTGAAAATATATAAAATCTATAATATTAGAATTTTGATAGTACTTTATTATTATATAATATTCAAAATCCTGAAAATCCTAAAAATAGTAAAAATTCGAAATATCATAAAGAATTTAAAATTTCAAAAAATCTGAAAAATCTTGAAAATCTTGAAATAATAAAGCTCTATTAGTTTCTCACTAAATTTTCCAAAAGTTTATAAAATTTATAAAATCAGAATTCGATAATAATTCGTTAGTATAGTATTCAAAAACCCAGAAACCCTAAAAAAATACTAGAATTCTATAAGCTAGCTGAATAAATACATTTAAAATCTGAAATCCTAAAAATCCTAAAAATAACTAAAAAAAATACAAAGCTTTAGTAACTTTTCATTGAATCCTCGAAATTTAAAGGAAATCCTAAAAATAATCTAAAAATAATCTGAAATCCTAGAAATAACTTATTTATATTTATTATAAAACAAATAACTCTAATAAACATTATTTTGTTTTTGATTAAATACAAACTACTTAATATAATATTAACTATTTATAACCAGCTTTAACTAATAAATCTAATTATTTATAAAATAATCAATTAGACTTTTTTTATATAAAAAATCTATAAAATATTATAAAGAAACTCTATCTTCCTAATAGAATTTATAAAATAATAAAAATATTACTAATATTTCATAAATATTATCTAAAATAAAATTTGTTTTCTCAAAAGAATCCTTTTTTTTTAATATTCTTTTCTTTTTCTTTTTATTCAATTATTCTATTTCATTTCAAAAGAATATAAAAAGTATATTACAAAAATACCTTATAAATATTCTAAGGATTCATATTATAAAAATATTTTCCTTTTCTTAATTTTCTTTTAATTCAATTTAAATAAAGGAAATAGGGATTATCTTAATGTAAATAATATTAATTACATACCATAAATATATCGCAAGTATATTATAATCTAATTGAAATAAGATTTTCGAAAGAACTATCTTTAAAGCTTTTGAAGCTATTTTCAAAAACTAGTTACTGGTTTGCTCTAAAAAAATTTAATAAAAAGAATTATTAAAATAAATATAAGATAATAATTAATATAAATATAAATATATATTTAAAATAAGACTTTTCATTAATTCCTTTTAAAACCTCTTTTTGAAGCTATATATATATAAAAATTCTTCAGTATCAGAATAATATCAACCTAATGCCAGTTCTATATCAATGCCCGTAATAAAACTATTATGATTTTTGTTATAAAAAAAACTATTTTTATAATAATAATTTTATAAATTCGAATTCCTTAAAATTGATTAGATTTTGAAAATTTTTATATATTCAAATATTATAACATATTTTATTAGTATACGGCCCATATCACTATACAGCCCACTTTCACTCTAATATACACTTTCAAACCTATATTTTTCTATAATCATTAAATCAATTAATTAAAACTTTTAAGATTCTAATAATCTAGAATCTATTATATTATTTTAGTAAATTCTTATATTATATTCTGTTTTTCTATATTTATTATAATATTAATTAAAAAATACTTTTTTATTAGAATTCCTTTCTTTTTAATATTTATTATATAAATCTAAATATCAATCTTTTATTAAAATAATATTTCAAAAATCTTTTATTTAATAAATATTCCTTTTGATATAATTGAGTTTTTTTTGTAAATTAATATTTACTTATGTCACGGCGTCAACTACATGTTCTGTAGTTGTCTTCGTGCCTCAGGCATAGAATACTAGCGTGCCCTACTTCTTATAAGTAGGGCCTCACTCTTTCATAGCTCTTCTACCCTTATGATATAATATAAGTCTTTACCTGTACCTTGACAACTTAATATTTTATTTATTTTTCGAAATATATGAATCTTTATATTCAAAAATATTTTTTTATAAATTAATTTCTTTATATTTCTAATTAAAGCTAATATAATTTCAAATATAGATATAAAAAAGCTTAATTGATAATAAGTTATTTAAATTTTTATTAAAGTTAATTTTAAAAAAGCTTTAATTAAATTATAAAAGATTTAAGAGATTTATAAATCTTAATTAAAAGAGGGGGGAGTAAATATACAAATTTAAATATTCAATTTTGAAAATATAATTTCAGAATTGAAAAATATTAAATCTATTTTTTGAAATTCTGGTTTCATATTTTAAATTGTAATTGATTTTTGATATATAGTTTTGAAAACTATAAAGAATTTAATTTTGAAAATAAAATTAATATATTTTTTAATAAATCTATTAATTTGAATATTATATAAATATTTCAGATTATTAAAACAATTTATATCAAATAATTAAATTAAATAATTTAAATATAATAATAAATATATATATTTAATATTATTCTTTTTATAATATCTTTGAAAAGCTTTTAATTCATAATTTTTATATTTATCTAATATTGATATTAAATATTTGCCTTTTTTTGAATCTTAATATATTTATTAAAATATTTTAATTATTTTAAATCTATCTCATTATTTATTCATTTATTAAATAATCTAATCTATAAAAAAATCAATTTTGATATATTAATTAAAGAGATAAATCTATTCTTAAATTATCAAAAATAGAAATATAATTTTATTCTTTTTATTATTATATATAATTACTATAATCTATTTTTTGTTATCTAATTATATTATTTTACTTCGATTATTTTGTTTAATATTAATTACAATTATTTTAGAATATATAATTTCTATTATAAATCTCATTTTATTGAAATTATAGAAATCTTTATTCAAAATATTATATTTTGTTTAAATATTTACAATTAATCGAAATTAATTTTTAATAAATTGAAAATCTTTATAAAAAGTTTTTTAAAATTATAAATATAATTAAAACATATTTTTAATTCAATTCAATGTTTTATAAATCGATACACCCAAAGCTTTTCAATATACTTTATACTCCTTGATTTAAGAATATAATTTACTATATTTTTTCTATATTTCTAAATTTAAATAAAAAATCTCTTATATTCATATCAAATATATATTCAGAAATAATATTTTCTTCTATTTCTAAAAAATTATAAAATATAGATCAATATTTTAAATAAAAAGTAATACTATTAATTCAATATTATAATATTATATACAGAATATATACAGAATATTATATATCTTTATAATCTTTTATATACTTGTTTTTTTATTTTTCTAAATAATTTCAATAATAAAAAATATACAAGCTTCTTAATTATTCGAATTTATTATAAATTATTGATAAAATATATATTAAAAAAATGAAGAGTGGATTAGGGTGAAAGTAGACTACATAGTGATATAAGCTATACACTAATAAAACACGTTATATCAAATTTTCAGAAAATTATATTCATAAATAAAGAAAGTGTATAATTACATATAGACGAATTATGTATATAAAATAAGTGATCTATTTACTGATATAAATTACTCACTGATAAAACACGTTATAGTTAGTTAAAAAGTTGAAAAAATAAGGGTTTTTAGTATGTTTTCGCTAAGTGTGCGACAAGCCGGGGCCTCAACTCTTACCCCAATCTCACAAGGCTTGAGCTTCGAAATCTCCGTAGTTGTTTCAGAGTCGAAATCCTTCAGCGATACATTCTTGAACTTCAAGATGTCTCCTCCTCATTGGTCTCTTCCTAGAAATTAATATCAAAAGTTTTCCAGCCGCAGATTCAATGGAATGAATCGGCGCTTAAAAATATTTCTCGGGGATATTCGACGAGTTATCGTGCAAGGAGTCACTACCACCTCATTCGTCTATATTCCTTTTGCTTTCAATGAATATTTTTAGATTTAGCAAATCTTTGGTAGAATCTCACTACCCACATCATGCAAACTAGATACTTCTTTGATCTTTCTTACTCAATGTTTTCAGACATCTTTCGATAATATCACACCGATGGATACCTACAAGCAATTTTTTTCGACAAGTGGTTTATGTTTGAACACATCTGTTGAGACTCAACCAGGTCTTGAAGTGCAAGATGCTTCTTCAGGGAACACATGGCCATGGTCATCACAGGAAACCCACGCTGGAAAACAGGACGAAAAGGCTGCAATATTAGAGCGTAGGCAAATCGCGGGGCTATCGATAGGAACATTTTGGGCCTTGGTCGTCTTGCTATGTCTCATTGTCGGAGGTGGAATAAGTGGAGGTGTAGTAGCTGGAATTGCGGCACAGAGAAATAATTGCAAGAGGTAGCTTGAGTCTGTGAGACATTTATGGATTGCTGTTAATCCATCATCTTAGCACAGGTATCAACACAAGTCCGGGCGTAGAGAATTCTGCCGCTTGGGTATGCTCGACAACAACAAACGTCAAATATTCGACGAGTATCGTAAACTCGATAGCACCTTCAACGACAAGCTCAGGATTGATAATAGATAATTCAAATATAGCTTCATCGTCTACGACGTCATCCACGCCGTCTAACCCATCAGTATCGACTGCGCCAACATCCCATTGCTCCGATGAATTTTCCACATTTAATGATTCTCTCGTTCAGCCCCTCTCTTCAGAGGGTTCAGCTATCGAATTATCAGGCATAGCGCAGACTTTTCGCGTCGCTTGTTACACAAACTATCCGTCTGGCGCTCAATATGGAAATCCAAGAATTCATGACATCATGAAGATATATATGCCGGATCTAACTCAGTGTATGATGGCCTGCGCAGAGTATAACGCGGGTTATTCTACCAATCTGCAAGGTGGGATCGACGTAGGAGGGGGCTTATGTAGGGCAGTCAGTATGGTAATAAAGGACGGGGAGTTTTGTTATTTGAAGAATGGGACCGGTGTTAACAACACGGCGAATAGTGGGGGTGATGCAGTCCGAAAAGATAGTGCTATCTTGCAATAAGTAAGGAGTTACACGCACAGGGTAATTCAAATAGAACCATAACATTTTTAATCAAATATCTTCATTATCATTATCTCGAATCGAGTTTCATAACACCACGTTCATCCAGGGAATCTTTCATATCCATAAACCACACCATCATATACCCCAATTACTCCAAAGCGAAACATCTATCTGTGCTTTCTGCATTATTACCCCACCAATTTGGCATGGTAACGACTTTTCCTGCGCCAAAGAACAAGAAAATCAATAACATGTTCAAATTGAATCCTGCATCGAAAGCAGCGGCAAGGATGTAATTATATCGTGCCCACATCTCATATCTATATCTGTACGCCCAGTAGGCGACAATGAAACCACCAATAATGGAAGAAGTGTATCCAGTAGAAATGTTTCCGTAGAACGTAGAAAGACCGGAGAAGAAAATGGTGGTATTGAAGAGATGAAATTTAGCTTTGGGAAAGCGACAGTGGAGAATATAAATGATGGGTGGGCAAATTGCTCCAACAAGGAACCCGTATGGAAGGGGTTTGAAAATAGGCAACTGGAAAAGGCGTAGAGGTCCGATGAGAACATATTGCGTGCTGGTAGTCAACGTAGTAGCGAGACCTTGTCCAGTCCATTGATGTGTTGGATCTGTTACAGCACCACTCAAATAATCCGCTTTTGAACTGAGCACCCATTTTACGACACCATAATTGATTGGAATACCAATGAAACAGCCGAAGACTTGGGCAAAGAAGGTGTCTCGAGGAGGAATATGCATATAGTGACCAATCTTCTGATCTTGAAGCATCAGTTGTGCACGATACCATGCATCACCAGCGAGGGATGAGTATACCGATGCACCCGAAGGATTCTTGTGTCCGTCGACCGCGTTAACCATCAGGCCATACAAGAGTTCGTTGAAGGTACCGATTGGAAGTTGGAAGTTGGAAAGGGCATATAGCCAGCCAAGTGGGACAACGACCATAACACCTGTAAGAACGGCGATGAAATATGTCCATAAGGGAATAAAAAGATTACCGGTGCCCAAGATTACCATCATAACGACAAAGGTGACAAGGAAGAGGATCAATGACCACCACCATGGCACTTCTTTATAAGAACGTTGGAGGACATTCAATTGATCGCCATATTGGTGGTTGATGGTTTCTCCCTCGACTTTGTTCTTACGACGAGCGTTCAATTTCTTAAGTGTATCTCTGATCTGTGTAAATCCAAAAAAACAAATCCAACTGATACCGGAAGTGTATGCTGCATAATCAAAGAACATGTTCCAAAGTTGTTGAGTACCGACGTAGATAGGCCCATACTCCTCGTAAGCAGTTTCATTTAGTGTGGCTTGAGGAGTGATGAGCTTAGTGGTAGGATAGGAAGTACCGTTTTCTGATGATGCATTAGTATTTATCAGAGCATCATTCGGGGCATGTGACATACCCATGAAGAGACGATTAGACATCAATTCAAGCTTCCAACTACCCAGACTTCCCCATTTGGCGGCTGGAAGCAATATCCAACAGTTGACTACAAAAGCCAAAAAGATAATTACTTGAGTCCACCAAGGAGTTACAAACAAGCTGTTGGAATTACTCAAACTAGCAATACTTGACCAATCAAGTGTCAGATTTAAGAAGCCCATTCCCCCCAAACCTGAGCCCATGAAATTCGCAACCTTGTTCTTTGGGGCAACCCAACAGAGGAATGCCAAGGACCCAAGCATTGGAAACACGAACTCTGGGAGGAATTGCCATAAAGTTATTCCTGCAAGAACTCCAAAGAATACTCTCATCTGTTTCTTTGAAACACGGGATGGATGTTGTCTCTGCTTCTTTTGAGTTTCAAAGAGAGCGGTCTGACAGAGTCTATTGAAATTCGAAGTTAGCTATCATCATTCTCCAATGTTCTCACTACGACCCACTGCCCAAAAAAAGTTGGAATAGACCTGGGTGAAGCCAAGTTGAGGCAGGCGCAGTAGGATTAAAGGACGTCGAAGAAAATCTTAAACTTACGCTTGATACCATGGGTATTGAGGATCATAGAGCAGGAATTGTCTAGCAATGGCTGCAAAAGAATACCCAATGTATACTACGGACCACATAAAGAATATCGCAACTGCTGGATGAATGGTAATTCCAAAGTAGAGCTCGGCAATTGAAATTGGGGCGTAGGCCAAATTGTAAGTGGCACCAGATGCTGCAGAAATGGTAACCAATACATGTTCCTTTGTTCCCCATGGACCTGGATTCAGACTAAAGCTTCCTCCAAATGGTAACCAGATGGTCTTGGCTGGAAGAACCTTTGCTAGCCAAACACCAACATAATTCGAACAGATTTGAACGAAGAAGACCGAGTATGGAGCAGATGTCGTACGGAAATGGCTCATTTGTGATAAGAAAGCTCCCGGTGCGACAAATATCAGAGTCAGAAGAAAATAGCGAAACGTGATCGTAGGTTCGGTAGGATCATCCTCGAGACTGACGATTCGGCGAACTTGCCATGGAATATCCTTAAGTAATGGATCATCATCACCAAACCTTCCTGATGTTGGCGTCGCTTTTTCGATGTCGAGAGGTGAGCTTTCGACAATAGGTGAGGACCCTTTGACATTTGTTTCGGGATCGATTTTCTCGGTTGGAATACCATTTTCCTCAATGGATTTACTGATTTCGTCGGTGCCGGTGACACTCGATGCTACCCCATCATTTTCATGATCGACAGATGCGGGGGTGATGTTATCCTCCTGCTGCCGAGGAAAGAGGCGGCTTCTCAAAGATGAAAACCCCATTTCTCCAAGACTGAATGTTGAGTCAAGAGAAGATACCAAGAGATGTGAAATGTAAGTGAGGCATGGCAAAAGTTACAAGAACTAGTATATACGCAAGAGAGGTCTCATACCGCCACTAAGCGTATTCGATATGGAAAAAATTGATCCATCGGTATTGCACCATTTACCATTCTTATCGCATACTACTAATTATTAGATTACAAACCGAATATCATTTCGATTTGTGGAACTGGCCGTGCTAAGGTCCCTTAGCACACCCATGAATAGCCCACAGCGGTGGGAATTTAACGGGACGTAGAATCCTTAAGAAGTGATCGAGCTAACAACACAGGTAGGGATTTTAGATCTTCCGATTCAAGATTTTGGTATTGAGATTTGACCGTTGTGGGTATAAAATGAATAAAGTATGAATATATCATAAATAATAAATGCTTTCATTTGTTCGTTTAATGTTGAGCATAGATGAAGGGGGTAAAGAACACATATTACTGGTATACTAACATTTTAAGCTTAATTGAATTCTCGACCAAACCGACGAAAACAGATCAAACTATTATTCATATATCGGAGAAAAGATTCCTATTTAGATGATGACAAAGTCACAACATCATTTTGAAAATGACGTGCTTTTTAACACTCCACAATCATTGAAAATTTTCCATAGAGTAGGAAAATGGTGGTGAACAATTACAGAGAACAAACATAGTCCATACGTAAGAAGTGAACAAAGTGGAAAGTGTAGGAAAGCATATTAAGAGTGCAAACGTCGATAATAGTGGGAAGTCTTCGGAATTTGATAGTAAGAAGACAACGATTGTCTAGCCGCCGATGGTCTGGCCGTTGGTGATGGAATGAATCGATGATATGATATCGGTGGTAAGAATATGTAAGAGGATATCGACTGATTCAATTTAGGTGTCCGCCAGTCCGAGATTCGGCATTTGTACGGGGTATGAAGTTGAATACCTAACCTACCAATATTAATGAGGAAATCAAAACATCAGCCCTTAGAGAATTTATCAGAATCCAGGATAAATTGAAATCGTGCTCGTATTGGCACGTATATCGGGAAACATGCGAACAAGATTTAGAAGAAAGTTTCCACGAACTCAAAGGGAATTTAATCATGTTCGTATTGAAAATACACAGTTGGCGGCACAAACTAAAGTAACATTACAATATGAGCAAGTTCAAAGTCTCTTTACAGCGTTTCCTCCTCATTGAACGGAATGCCTCGAATGCATAGACGGGGATTAACATCTGCATTCAGCATTTCACACTTAACTTCAGAAGGTGCAATGGCAAGGAATTATCAGACAATTGCAATTGACTTCGTATCCTGTCGACATCCCGAATTGTGGTTGATGAGTCCATTTAATGTTATTTAATAAAGTTCGTAAGGAAGATAATTTTCCATCACATTGATTGCCAGTGTCAAGTCAGGTGCCGACCGCCCATAAAACCCAGGATATGATGCATCCACGTTGATGTGAGAACAATAATTATAAGATCTATCAAGTGAAGAAAAGGTAAGATTACAATTCGACATTTATATTGAATATCAGAATATGGCCATGTAAGATATCGCCTTGTCGGATTATCTGCTTACTTTCGATCACATACAAACCTTTGCGTGCATCCAAAGGACGGGACGGTAGGCTTACTTGGCTCTGAACAACCCTATGAGTATTCCGGGTCTAGTGCTCACACGCCACAACTTAATTTGAACGTACTACGAGTAGGTAGGTGGTTTTACATTCAATTAGCTTTGAGAGCTCATTATGTCATGTCGAGCATCTGCGAGATTTCAATTGAATTCAATGTTTAATGATGTAATGCCGTATGAGAGGTGTGCATTTTCAAGTATTTCTCAGCATTTTTTCACATATAGCGTTCATGATGGTCTGTTCTAGGCTGAAATGACATCGCTCGCCGTCATTTCTTCCCATCTCCTACTAGGGTTTTTCATCTGATATAAGATTGTTTTGGAGAATAAAAGCCCGACCAAACAATTTAGTAAAATAATTATCTCCGTTTCATTAAACCTCATATCATAGTATATACAGTTTCCAGAAGAGAAGTCTCAAAGTATATACAGTTCGCAAAACGTTCTTTCATCATACGACGGTCCTATGCTGGAAGGGTGTTGTTTGGTAGAGTTCCAAATCCACTCGGGAATATATAAGTCCCACTGGCAACATCTTTTGCAATTGTCGCATTCGGCTTGGTATAAGTCTCAATATCGAAACCCAATGACTTTCCCACGGCAACATCGATTAATCCACTGACAATGTTTCCGAACAAAACACTTCCGGCAGCATTGATGTGTGTGAAATCCGTTGGTTTCAAGTTATACGTCGCAGCATCAGTCGCTCCGATAGCATCGACATAGTCTGTCGATGCGCGGTTAAGATCTATGTATAAGGATCCGATTGATTTAGCAACAGCTATGGTAGCATTGGCTTGTACGGCAAGATCTTCCTTAGCAAGACCTGAACTATTGAAGCTTCGGCGGGTAAGAGAAGTGACGAGGATCTAAGTACCAAGGTTAGTTATCTCTGTTGTATATTGAGATTGTCGATAGCACCCCTCTGCTGGATTTTCTGGTCTTCAATGGATAACCCTCCGTGTTTCCGACTCTAACATAATGGAGGCATTTGAATATGCCCCGATGTAGAGACTCAAGTCTATGAAAGAGTATTGACTTACTGGAGTTCCACCAGCCGCTACTACATCCTCCGCCATGTTCTTCAAATTGGTCATGTACTCCGCAACCGAGATGTTTGCTGTTGCCTTTTGATCATTGTGACCGAACTAATTCATGGGTCAATACTATCTTATCAACTTTTCCTCTCCGCCGTTCGCCAAAACTTACTTGAATTGTAACAAAAGTTGTATAGTTTGCCTTATACTTTGCTACAGATGCCAATACTTTCGCCCAATCGCCACCATTCACGAAGCTTACAGTCGTTGCACCATTGTGTCCATAATTGATACCTCCAGCTCCATTGCGAAGGGTAGCTAGAAAGCCATTACCCCATCCACCACCTGTCAAACCTGCATTCTGAACGGCCGTTGTTGAATCACCGGCAAGTAGAAATGCTGGTGGTGCTGCACTGTAAACGGGAGATGCGAATAATGTAGTAGCCAGGCCGGTTAAAAGGAATCCAAGATTTCGAACCATTTTGGGAGTATTGGAAAGTTGTCAATTGGTCGATTGTCGAGATCACGGAGGGTATTTACTGCTTGACGACTGGTTCGATGAGCTTCAGGAGAGTTGATTCGGATAGCTACTTGTGAATGAGAAAGCAGGAACTTGGGGCGGTAGAGGCGGTATATAAAGTATCATGAGATAACAAGCCAACATATATTGCTCCGACATTCGGTTCATCATCGGAAAATATTTTCGGTGAATTATTGACCGATATTTCCCTACGTGTGTTTCCAAGACATGTTGTCGATATACTTGGCAGGTACTCGGCCGAAGGAATTCTTCCGGAGCGTTTTATCACCCCGGCAATCTGTAGCAAACCCCGCATTGCCTCGTAACCCCGCTTGTTTTGTTATAAGCAAAACTTTAATTGATCAAGTAACCTGAAGGATGGATTCGATACTTTATTACAGGTTTCGGCAAATTATTCTCATGCTCTAAAAATTATATTTGTTTTACTTTTAGACCCTTTGGACTCTCAATTTTAGGGCATGAGAGTAATTAAATGGCTTTTGGAGGGCATGAGGGTAATTTGCCGTAAAGTTCTACTGTCGACCTGCCCATAGTATTTTGAATTAGATACCTCAAATAATCAGATTAGAAAATCAAGGGGGGTCATGAGCGCCCTGATACTGACAGATTTCTGCATCCATGACCAGCATAGCTGAAATTCTAACATGCACCTCAAATAAAACCAGTTTGATCATCCATAAAATTCAACATTCTCCCCCTCTCCCTCGGCGGATTGACGTTCATCTCAACCTGGTGTTCGGGTTCAAACGACGCTTATCCTATCCTTTGCTTCCTTCTGACCCAAACCTCCCTCTCTTCATTCTCCGCTCCAGAAATTGGTCGTAGTTGAACTTCCCAGACTTTCAGCCTATAACTTCCTCGGTCGCCTTTGCCATGAATCAAATCAAAAGACCAGTTATGCTTTGGACATTGTATTCCTACACTCAACCGTATGCCAAAATCCTCAATGTCAAACGGTGTGCCTCGTGAAAGTGGGAAAGAGGAATGTGGACAGTTCTACCAATTATTCAGTAGTAATTCATCGACTTTCGCTTGGAAATACGCTCTCGATCTTTCCATAGAACAAAGATAAGTAAACTAAACTTACATGATCAACGGCATGAAACTTGCCTTGGTATTGAAACACTACGACTTGCTCCTTGAGTCCAGCTGCTACAGCATCATCAAGCTCGACTTCAACTGCTTGAGTATTATTGGTAACAGGTACATGAAAGACTTTGCATCCAGGTGCGAAAGCACCTTTGCATGGTAAGCGATCGGATAGGACAGTATCTCCGGAGGCTGTAATGTTCGGAAAGGAAGATGTAGGACCAGCTAGAAACCAAGCATCGCCAGATCGAGAAGTACCGACAAAAGGGTTAAAGAATGACATGGCTATATTGATATTGATAGTGGTTGGTCATTAAAACTACTATCAATTTCTACCCCGTGGTGCTTTTCCCTGTGGTTTTGAAAATTCAAGCAGAGACTTCTATTCTGCAACTTTTACTTAAAAGCTTGCTATCTATTGCTGACCATTCCCTAGTGATCTGGTTCCTCGAAATAGCCCTTCACAGCGCGAACCGTATTTTGCATTAAGGGTGAAACAATAGATGATCCTCCTCAACTCTTTAGGATTGAAGATGTTGGAAACCATGGAAAAATCTTGATATTTCTTATCACGGAATTGCGCCACATTGAGATATGTCCTCGGATTAGGTAATCCTTCAGCCACATACATATTACGATGGTTGTAAGGGTAAGTGTGAGGTTTATATGTGGAATAAAAGATGGTTAATTAGAATGGTGCCAAGGGCCAAGATATTGGCACTGGCTTAGCTAATCTGAGCTAGACTAATTTAGTATATACATGTGATTAAAAGTATAATAAAATATTATAATTGAGAAAATGCTTTACCCCAAAGCAAAATATATCTAATTTTGATTTTTACTCTCAAGTATATATAAATCTATTTATTAAAAGTTTTAATTAATTCTACTAAGATTTTTTTATCTAATATTCATTAATCCTATTCTATTTTTTTTTTAAAATATCAAATCAAATACTTATTTATTTCTCCTTCTTCTTTTCTATATAAAATTCGTTTTTATAGAATTCTTTTCAAAATCAACTCAGGATTTTACAAAATCCTCTATACAAAAGAATAATAGAAAAAATCTTATATAAAATCTAACACAAACTTAAAATATATAATACTAATAATTGAATATATCTTTATAAACTTAGATAACTCAATTCAATAAACTAAATATTTAATTCTTTTTAAAACTTTGAATAAATCTATAAATTATTATTTGATTTTTGTATTTTTATCTATAATATCAAATATATTATATTCTTAATATAATTATAAAAAAATATAATTCTTAATCTTAAAGAATATAGATTTATATTATTAGTTAAAATAATACTTTATAAATATAACTATAAATTTAACCATATTAATTATCTCAATTATTATAGATTTATATTTAGTATTATTCATAAACTTTATTAGGTATACCTTAGCCACTTGTTTTACTACAGGTTTGAATCTAGTTTTTTAAAGCAGTGTTTCTATTAGCTTCATGATTGTTTCTATTGTAATATTGAGTAACTCTTTAATCCTAGATTTATATATTATTATAATAATAATGATATTTATATCTTAAAATATAAAATTTAATAAAACTATAGATAAATATAATAATACTATTGGTTATTGCAAATTATTATTTAAAATATTAAGATAATATCGAAAAGCAATCTTTATTATCTGGTTAATATATTTATTACTTCTATTTATTTATAAGTACTAAATTATACTAAATAATAGCTTAATATTTAATAAATCCATAATCCCTTTTTATATCTTAAAAACAAACTTCTTGTTTTAATCAGAAATAATTGTATAAGATATTTCTTATAATATTAGAAATAAATATTGAATTAAAGAATTTCCTTATTAAATTACAATTCAAGTATTTCTTCCAGAAATTAAAATGATTGCTTTGGAGAGCTTATTTGTAATTAATAAAGTATAGTCAAACAAATCCGATATCGATTTAGATAAAACCAAAATGAAATTAATAAATATTATATGGAAGATATATAGAGGAGTTAGAATAGGTTATAGTAATTTGTAAGGTTAGTATTAAAGAGTTAATAATACCTTATATCAATAACAATAATAAAAAAAAGATCGAAACTTTTTAAATATATTAAAAACATAAAAACTAAAAGAAATCCTTTTATAAATACAATTATAGTCTAAATATTCTAATTGATTATATATATAATTGAATATTTCGCTTTCTAAAGATATAGATATTATTAATCTTTTTTATAAATATATTATATCAGATTTTGCATATAGAATACCTTGTTTTATTTTGAAAAACAGCTTTATAATATTAACTCCTAACTTCTTATTTTCCTTAATCTATTTGATTAATTTGATATATTATGGATTCAATATATATATCTATTTAAGTTTTTATAATTAAGCCTTTTCAATTTATAGAATTATTATAGGATAAACTATAGTTTTTGATATTCTGTAATTATAACTTTATTTTATTTGAATTGATTTCTATTTATTTATTTCCTTTTTAGTGATATAAAGCTATAATAAAGTATTTAGTATAATATTGAGGTATCTAAACTTATATTATATTTTAAGATAGAATTAAGAAAGATATTCGGAATTTTATAAATAATAAGGATTCAATTAAATTAAGAAAAATATATTTATAAAAATCTAAATAACAATCTAAATATTTGCAGAATAATCTATATATATTATTATCGGAAATTTTGATAATTCAATTAAATGTTGAATTCTTGAAATTATTTAGTATAAATCTATAATTTTTAATTCAATTAATTAATAATTGGATTCAACAAATATAATAAGTTAAGAGAGAAATATAATTAATATAATAAATTTCTGAATTAGCAAATCAATTATAGAATAATAAACTATATCATCAATTCTCTCTTTAGATATATCTATATTGATATATAGTCTTTTCTCAGAATTGAAATAATATAAAATCGAAGATTTTTTGAAGATAAATTATAATTTATTGAATAAATCCCTTTCTTTAATAATAATGTTTTTGAGTTTCAAAATTACTATCAAGTTTTTTCTTTTAGCCTTTATAATAATATTCTTATTATAAATATGCAATAAATAATTTAGTTCACTTTTTCTTTTCTATAATATTGCTAATAATTTTGCATAATATAGAATATATTATTACAAATAGCTAATAAGATCGAGGTAGTATTCAAATTATTTTAAAGATTAAGGGAAAACTAAAGCTTGGATAATGGAGAACTTATTTTCTACTAATACAAAACCAAGTGTATCTACTTTTTAATCAAATAATACAATAGAAGGATAAACTAAAAAGTATTTTTTAGAATTTAAGATAATATTCGTATTTTTTAATTATAAAAAAACCTATTAAAAATATTTTAGATAATTCTTAAATATATAATTAAAAATAACAATGTTATTAATGTAAACTTTTACGAACTCTCTTTTCAATCTAAAAATAATATTGATATATCTCTAAATATAAGCTAATGAATTTCTGAATTTTATTATTATATAAATAAATGTTTTTTAATTATAATAAAATGATATGATGAGGTACTTCTAATGATTCTCTTTAATGCGTCACTGATAGAAAAAGCTAGTATAATCAATAATAGATATAAAAGAATATCCAGCCATAATTGCAATAATATCAATCTGTATAAGGATCGAATATGCATCAGAAATAACAATCTAATTCAATGCATGGATATCTATAATAACCCTATCTTTTCTTAATATAACTTCTTTTTTATCAATTATCTTTTTTTATATACAAAACACTGGAAAACTAAAAGGGATTAGTTTTATTATTCATTTAAGATGACCTTGTTTATAAAGTTTATTATAAATTTCGTCTATAAGAATCTAATCTTTTCAACTTATAAAATAAACCTTTACCTTATCCAATCTGAATTTCTTTTTCCAGTTTTTATACAAATCGATCTTTATCTCTTCACTCTTTAATATATTTATAAAACCTTTTCGATTTTTTCAAATTATATAATTATTTATTACTAAATCCTTTAACTACTGCTTTTATATTTTATTTTTATAAATCATAATTCCATTTAATAGAATAATCTTTTATTTAATGAGTTCTGAATCAGCCACATTTATATAGTCTAGAATATTACTTATACTATCAGTTATCCACAAGACTATAGTTACTATAATTATAAGTAATTCCTTAATCAAAAGGTGTTTTTTAGATTCAAATATAATAATTAATATTTGAATAAAATAATAAATATTAATCTTATTTATAACTATTATTATTTAAATATCAAATTCTATAATATTTCTAAGCTTTAGATTCTTATAAACCACTACCTCCTTATCTATAGGATTCTCGATTATAACAAAGCTAAGCTTATTAAATACCAAATATAAAAAAAATATAAAATTCCCTTGCTATAAAAGTTTATAAATTATATTATAAACTGAAAGAGATAATTTATTACTCTTTTTGCCTATAATCAATATAAATATTTAAAAATAAAATAGAATAATGATTTTATTTATAATATAAATTAGGATTTTTCTTTTAATCTTCTTTGATTATATTACAATCTTAGCTTATAGATTTATATATTAAAATAAAATTAAGATTCTATTATCTAAATTAATAATCTATTTTTTTGAAATAATAATATTATTATTCAATAGAACTTTGATATTCAATATATTTATAATATAGATTTTATAATAAAAATAAGTTATAATATTATTAATTATTAATAAATAGAAATTCAAATTTATAAATTGATTTATATTATATTTTTAGAAATCTAAATTGCAAATATTTATAATTTTATTTATAATATAAATCTCTATAATAGAATATATTTTAAATAAAAAAGATTAATTAATTAAATTTATATTATAATCTATATCAAAATAGACTATATATACTTCGTTTTAAGAATTATCTAATAATACTTTGATTTTAGTATATCTTCAATTTCTGAATATATAATCTAGTAATGATTTACTTATTCTAATTATAAAATAAACTATTTGAGATTAATATTAAATTGAGAATAATTCTTTAGATTTGATTGGTATAGTATTTCATTTAAATCGATTAATGAATTATAAGGAATAAGATAAAATAACTTTTGAAATATTATTAATTTTAGATTTTATTAAATATTTTATTAATTTATATTTTCTATATTAATCTCTAAAATAAATATATAATTTATTTTTAATATAAAATATTTTTTGGTAATTATAATATTGATATTTGACTTTATTGATTTTGATATTTTGAAATATTATAAGATTATTTGATTTATATCTAAAATCAATATTTAAAAAGATAGGCTTTGATTTCTAATTTCCTTTATCAAATTGAAAACTCTTGATATTATTTTAATACATACTATTAGATCTTATATTAATTGATATTTTAGCCTTTAAAGATTTGAATAATATCAAAATAGAATCTTGAATAAGATAAACATACTATATATCCATCTTTTCACTATAAATATCAGAATCAGTATTTAACTTTTTATAATCATTTTCCAATCCTTAATAATAAATTTGATTATATACATAATTATTATA